ACTGGTTCACGTACTAAAACTCACCCTGTATGTATACTAACTGGACGCGCGCTAGAGCCGAGCCGTGTGTATGTATGTACATACATACATACATACATTGCATACATGCATACAGCAATTATGCGGACTATTCGCGTAGTAACAACCTAACTTATCGGCCCGATTTACCTGCCGTCGATAATGATGCGTGCGTGGCTCATCGGCTCATAATATTAAAATCTGCAGTTGCCTCGGTTGGTCATTGGTGATCGTCATACATCTATTATTCTAAATAATACAAAGTCAGGACGATTAATTTTTTTTTATTTTCCCTCTGCGGGAACGCTGTCAACCGTTAGGTTATTTAGCGTAAGGACGATTAATTGATTTAATTAACTGAGTGAACGGACGTAGTTGACATTCACTTTGTCAGGGGGCACAATTCTGTTTCTGAGCTAGTAGACTTCCGGTGGCCGCTCTCAGGTTTCTCTCTGATTCTTACTATGTTTATGGCTGTGACGCACGACGTTGACTGTTGACTGCTACTGACAGACTGTTGACGACGGGTCGTTATTGTCAATGGGGATCTGACACGTTGACGGAGCCGAAACCGCGAACGAGGACCGTTGATGCACCATGGACCTGGCCAAGTCGTTCTTCAACGTCCGCGATCACGACGGTTACATCGGGAAAGACGAACACGGCGTGAGTATTCGCGCGGTCGAATCTCATTACGAGGCTCGGTCGACGCTCGACTCCTGTGCGAGACTGATAAGCGCGATAACATGTGGAATCGTGTCCGGGCAACACCTCGCCGCTCAAATCATTTCTTGGTGGCTCACAATGGTTCGATCACCGTGTAAAATGTGTTTTATGTTTGTCAAATACGATTGTGCGTTTCAGAAAAAATTAGAAACAGCCGTCTCCGAAGATGAGGTCGAGGTAGAAGTTGGAGGTCTGTGCGGCGAGACCTTGTCGCCAGCGCCGGGTGGTCCATTTTCAGCATTAACTCCATCCATGTGGCCGCAAGATATTCTAGCTAAATTGAACCAGCCCGACGATCCAAATTCCCAGCCTGAATATAGGTGAAGCTTAAATGTATCAAGTACGCCTAATATTGTATTACGTTTGTCGTACAACAAACTTTTTAAGCGTCTTGATTGGCTGCTGAATCGAAAATTTCTAGATACTCGAGAATTTTACTATCTTGCAGCCAATTGACTCACTTAAAAAATTTGCTGTACGACAAATTATTTAAGTGTGTTGATTGCCTGCAGGATAGGAAAATTCTCGATTATCTAGAAATTTTATTCAGCAGCCAATCGACACGCTTGAAAAATTGGTCGCGCGACAAATATAATACTATCCCAACATGTAAAACTCCTTTGAGATTCGTAAAAGATAGGAAACACATAGTATTGTAAAATAATATATATGACTGTTCTGTCGACCTAGATTTGACGAGTTTGGCTTTCGCGTGGAAGAAGAAGATGGCCCTGAACAGAATTCCAAAAAGTTACTAGGAGTACCATTTGTCGAAGATCCTCAACACAGGTCGATTAATCATATTTCTTTCACATACGTAAAATAGAGTTATAAAAAGTTGAAAAATTGAATTAAATTTGCTGTTTCAGATTGCAATGGATTGCTCTCTTGGAATTCAGCCATAATAAAGAAGTGGCGGAACTCTCCTGGCAAAATATGGACCGGAGTCTACCACGTACAGATAAACTACGTGAAATGGTTCGCCGTGGTATACCCCATTCCTTGAGACCGCAAATTTGGATGCGTATGTCAGGTATAAAACAAAAATATAAATGTCAGACGACGAGTTACGAAAATACATTTTTCTTTTAATTACAGGGGCATTTCAGAAAAAATGTTCATCAGAGATAATGTATAAAGATATAGTGAAAGCCTCGAGTAACGATGCTCTAATGACCAATAAGCAAATAGAGAAAGATCTCCTTCGCATTATGCCAGCCAATGCATGTTTCAGCCACCTCCATAGTACTGGTATACCTCGTTTAAGACGCGTTATGCGTGCCTTAGCTTGGCTATATCCTGACATTGGGTATGGAAAAATATACGATTAATTTTAAGACTGTTATTAAGTTAAATATATGATATTAATATTTAATTTTTATTGCTGCTTCTATCAAGTTACTGCCAAGGCACGGGTACAATGGCAGCATCATTATTATTACTTTTGGAAGAAGAAGATGCATTCTGGATGATGGCAACAATAGTAGAAGATTTGTTACCAGCTTCTTATTACTCTTCAACACTGTTGGGTAACACATTTTGTCAATTTTGAGAAATATTCCAAGTCGATGAAAATTTAGTGCGTTGTAATAAATTATAATTATCATTTCCACAGGTATTCAAGCTGACCAAAAAGTACTTCGCACATTAGTAGCTAATTATCTTCCTGACATAGATCACGTTTTGGTGCAACACGACATAGAATTAAGTCTAATATCTCTACACTGGTTTCTAACTTTGTTTGCATCAGTTGTGCATATGAAAATATTATTACGAATATGGGATATGTTTCTCTTCGATGGATCCATAGTTTTATTTCAAATTACACTTGGAATGTTGAAAATAAAAGGTGTGTGTATTTGTGTATTCAATACATATACATATTTGATATAGATGTAGAGTATCTTATATCATTGAATTTTATATAAAGCGCGTGTCATTATTCAATGCTTTTTCAGAAACAGATTTAAAACAGTTGGAGAACTCTGCACAAATATTTAACGCTCTCTCAGATATACCAGGAGACATTGATGATGTGGACCAATTATTCAATGTATGTTTGTCTTGATATAATTTTCGAAACACTTTATGACAAAGCCCAACTGTTTTAATATATATTTGATACATCCCCATTTTTTTAAAGGTATCTTTAGAAGTTAGTGGGTCACTGACAGATGTATTAGTCGAGACTCATCGACGTCGTCATTTAGCTTATTTAATGACTGATCAAGGTGGACTGGTAGGAAATCCTGATGCGATACCGAACTTGCCGAAACAACATTTGAATAGGTATAAGTGGTGAAAAATTCATAATATCCATTTCCTATTTAATAACTAACAAATATTCTAATTGAAATATTTTGTTAACTCTTTGTATAATCCTTTGTGGTTGGACTTTAGACGTCAAATGAAGCGGAACAAATCAATGTTGCAAACAATTTTATTTGGAAATGATGATAGTGAAGACGATGCAAAGTCCAAGAATATTCGTCAAACAGGTAATATACAGCCATGTAGAATTGTCAATTAAATTTATGTTTATATAATTTTATATGTGAATTTTCAGAAATTCTTGTCGACCTAAGGGAAGCTGTTTTACAAGTTGCAAGGCATTTCATAAATGTTGATCCAAAATTAAATAATGTTGTTCTCATAGCAGATTATACAATGGAGAGTCATGCGAAAGATCATGATAATTACGTCAATGTATCACTGACGCGGAAAAGAAGAGCAAAAGCTTTATTAGGTACGAATATCTTTTCTATTGTTACATAGCGATATAATTAAGGAGAGATTAATCTTACAATTGGGACAAAGCCTGAATTAAAACTGAGATCATAGTTAAATGACGGTGAAAATGGACATAAGGTGAATAAAATTCGATATATAGCGATACACTTTTAATAGTCAAAGGTAAAAAGTCGCGTGATTTATCAAATTAAGTAATTTGAAAAATGCGCTCTTCTACAAATAAGTTAATCTTGTTGCAGATTTTGAAAGGCACGATGACGATGAGCTTGGTTTCCGAAAGAACGATATAATCACGATCATTAGTCAAAAAGATGAGCATTGTTGGGTAGGAGAACTAAATGGATTGAGAGGTAATACATTTACGAAAGAAATGTTACGGTGTTATTTGAGTATTGCGATCAAATGAATTTATGATTATAACTCTTGTCAGTTTTTGCAAACAATAATGTCTGTCTCAAATGATTTTTTTATGTAATAATCTTGTCATTTTTTGCAATTTTTGTAATATATGTTAACAGTCGTACACAGATGATCAAAGTTTCATATTATTTTCTTATCTTGTAAATATGATATTCAGTTGTATTAATCTAACAATATACTTTTAGGGTGGTTTCCCGCAAAGTTTGTAGAATTGCTGGATGAACGAAGTAAACAATACACGTGTGCTGGAGACGATGCGGTTAGTGAAGCTGTTACGGACTTGGTAAGGGGTACGTTGTGTCCAACTGTGAAAGCAGTACTCGAGCATGGAATGAAGAGACCGTCATTTTTGGGCGGGCCGTGTCACCCGTGGCTGTTTATAGAAGAAGCTTCCCACAGAGAAGTGGCGAGAGACTTCAATTCTGTTTATAGTCGATTGGTGCTGTGCAAAACATATAGGTTGGATGAAGACGGCAAAGTTCTAACACCAGAAGAGGTATGACAGATTCTTCACTACCATTGGTCTCGTGTATATTCAGTAAATAGTAAAGGACATTTTTTTCCAGTTATTATATCGCTGCGTTCAATCTGTAAATTTAACACATGACAATGCACATGCTCAAATGGATGTGAAATTACGTTCTCTCATTTGTCTCGGATTAAACGAACAAGTGCTTCATTTATGGTTAGAAGTTTTATGTTCCTGTGTAGAAGTAGTACAAAAGTGGTGAGTACACAAGTGTATAAATATCTCCTATGTGTGTATGTATGTATTATAGAATAGTAGCATACATATGCTTCCTGTTACTATGTACATATACATATAACATGTATAATTAATGTGCTAATACCCAAATGTAATTTAGGTATCATCCGTGGAGCTTCATAAATAGTCCAGGTTGGGTGCAGATAAAATGCGAATTACGAATATTAAGCCAATTTGCATTCAATTTGAATCCCGACTGGGAACTACCGCCTAAAAAGGAACAATCACAGCCTTTAAAAGATGGAGTTCGCGATATGCTAGTCAAACATCACTTATTTAGTTGGGATCTTTAGCATAAGATAGTTAATAAGTCTATACCACTACTCTGGTTTTCGTCCAAAAACTCGGGATCTAATTTTCCATTTCTAGTCTCTAATTTAGTATAGTAAGGAAGATCAGAATATATTTAAATATATTTTAATTTTAAAACATTTTTATAAATAACAGTATTTAAAATCGAAGAGATTTTTATCATCTAAAATTTTCAAGTTTAATGCACGATAATGACTAAGAAACATAATGTACAAATGAAAAATCTCGTTTTTATCATTATAACATAATAGATGTTATTAAAGAAAGTTTATATTATTTAATTGCACAGATACAGAATAAATAGTTGTGATAGAAGAAATCCTACGTATATATATATAAATTCTTTTTTTATACATGCAAGTAAATGATATTTTAAGAAGCTTTACAGTAATATTTCTGTCAAATAGTAATTCTGTAGCTATCAAAATAATTAATAGCTTCGAAAAGAAATATGTCTGAAAAATAAAAATATTAGAAAGTATTAGAAAAAAGTTATATCGCGTGTCTAGTTGTATAAATGTTATTGTGCAATATTCCTTTATGAAATGTTAGTTTTATATTTCTTTATCACAAAATAAGAAATTGTATATTGATACAATAAACAAACAGTATAATACACATATAAAAATATATATTGTACGATCTCTGTAGATATCTCTATGTATGTAAAGAGAATATATATTGTCATATATCTTGAAGCGTAATGAGCATGTTGGGTTAAGAAATTTATTTTTGAGCCTTTGATAATTGAGATATTCCCTGTACATGTATATAGAAAATTTTTAGTATTTACAATGTGAGTTACTTAATTTCTTTCAAAGGAATAAATTTGTTTCGTACAACGTGTAATAGTGTGTAGGATTTCTCATAAATGCATTCTTTATGTATTTTGTAATTAATCAGGTTTATGCTTTTTATTACAACACGGGTCTGTGAAATTTTCATCAATGATTTTTATATTAAAAAACGGTTTTTTCTCTTTAGCTTCAGTAATTAAAGGCGAAGTTTGTAAAAGCGCGTCTTTGTCAAGCTTTGAGGGAGCACGTGCAGCCTCGTACTTTTCAATGGTCATCGCGTCAATGTGCAAATTGTGTACGTCCAAGATATCTTCTTCGTATGTCGGTTTGTCAGAGGAATCGATCTCGCACTTGCACGGGCGTTTTTTTATATAAATAAAATGTAAATCCATAACGTTGGTGCCAGTACTTCCTGTCTTAACTAAATCCGCTCCCTTTCTGAAGCGTGAATAAAAATTGTACGTATCGCTTTCTTTTAAAACATTCTCGGGTAACATGCGTTCCACTTCCATTGTCTTTAATACTAAATTATCAATATGTTCAACATGATCTCGAGGTGACTCTTTGGCAGTACGATCTCCCTCTGATTCAACACTGGACTGTGTTACAAGTCCACTCATTTGTCGTTCGCGGGAGTTCCATGTCCGTGCATTTTCCTCAGTAGCCATAGATTGAACTTTTGCGTAAAGATCATGCATTACAGGCGCAATGGCAGGGTAACCAAATGCACCTGCCGCGTCAGTAGGACCGTCCTGACCGTCGGTGCCTGCGCTGAGCATTATTACATCGTACTCGGCAAGTCGCGGGTCACTTTTAATCTTCGCCAGCCAATCCAAGGAAAAGCGCAAAGCCAACTCCTGGTTTCTACCGCCTTTCCCCGAGCCCGTCACCACAACCGTGGGTTCTCCGCCTCCGATTAAAACTATACCACCGAGATTGCTGGCGCAACGAAAGATCTCGTCGACTTTGGCAATAGATAACGGCAGTATCGGCGTAGCTCGTACTCGGTCGTAGAATTCTTCTCTCCCCAGGTCATTGAGCAGGACCAGACATATCAGACTTGTCACGTGAACGTATGCCGCGCTAACGTCCTGCACATTTCCCGTAACGTCGCTTCTCAATACTATTGGAGTCAACTTTTTGCGCGAGGCTTCGAGGCTCGCGGCTTCAAGAGCCGCCGTATTGTTCCCTAGAATTATGTTCGCCACGTGTTTGAACTGTTTGGCAGGATTTAACAGCGGTCTGTCGTTAAACGTTTCCCTGGACATTACGACCGCCTTTAAATCACCCTCGAGCGACCGATACAAGTTGTACTTGTTTAATATAGCGATCACCTTCTCCGGTGATCTTGGACTGTAAACGGTAGGCCCGCTGGCGATCAAGTCTACAGGATCGCCGACGATGTCGGACAGTATCAGCGCGACGACAGACGCGGGATAGGCCATGCGCGCCAGACCGCCGCCCTTCACCAGGGACAGCTTCTGCCTGACGGTGTTGAGCTCGGCGATGTCGGCGCCTGCATTTTGCAGCTTCCTACAGAGCTCCAGCTTGTCCTCCCAGTCCAGGACGGGCCTCGGCATGTACAGCAACGCGGAGCCTCCGCCCGACACCAGCACCACGAGAGTGTCCGTCTCGGTCAATCCCTCGACCAGGTCGACAATGTCGTGCGTGGTGTCGAGCGATCTGCTGTCGGGCTGGTTGTCGACGCCGCCCTCGCGACACTCTATTCGGCTGCCGCGTAACCCGGCGGAGCCCGGGACGCTCGGGACGCTGACGATGCCTCTCTTCAAGGCGCCACCGAGCACCCGCTCGAGCTCCACGGCCATTCCCATGACCGCCTTACCGAACCCGACGAGATAAACGTCGCCCTTGAGCGGAAAGCTCCTCTCGTCGACGTGCAGTGCGTCGCCGCGGAGCTTCACCCTCCTCCTTATCATCTCGCTCGGCGACACCGCCTTCACGGCCGAACGAAAGATATCCCGCAGATCGACTCTCGACTCCGACAGAAATCTCGTCTCCGTTGCGTTCATAGCGCGACTCGAGCTTGTAGTACAACACGCGGAGATTTTTGAGAGGTTAGGACGAAAAGCTAGCGAACGACTGCAAAGTCAAGATGAACATAAACGAAACGCTCCCCTTCGGCTCCCCCTCCCACCGAGACGTTAGATTGCATTGGGTGAACATTAAAGATTCACTTACCCATGCAAGACGAATCTACCAAGTATCAGTCTCCGTCGCATCGCGATCGATTAATTGAGTGCATCGACCGCGACGTGAGACTTGGCGAGATAACTGTCGCGGCATCTTTCTCTTTTATCGCTAGCTTTTCACGCTGTGCTCTCTACGCGCGTCACGCGATTACGAAATATTTCAATTCGAAATAACATCGCGATACTTTTGTATCCCGTAAAGTGTAGGTGATTTTCTAACTCGTGTCTGCAGGGTCGCGCGAAAGATGTATAGCGGAGTGTACTACCTACACAGCACGGAAAGATTGCAGAAATGTTACGTTGCAAGATTGCAAAATTGCAGCAACGTTGAAATGTCCGCCCTCGGAGAGATTGCAGTGCAACACATTAGTTGCTTTCCTTTTACATGAAAACTCAGATAAATCTCACTTGTGACGTCATAACTCAGTTGAATGCATGTTCCTTTTGATTCTTGAGAAGTGAGATTCGACCGGATTTAACCGAGTTTCTGCACACGATCAAGACCGTGTGCTTTAGTGAGTTTAATAGACTCACATTAATGACGTTATATCCGAGCAGCTAATAGCTGCTTTCCCTTTACACTCAAGTGATACTGAGTCACTCAGTTATGCGAGTATTTTATACTCACTTATCCTCTATTTGCTTGGATTCGAATCGATTTTGTTTCCTGCTTCCTAGCTTCAAGCCTAATCTGTGCAATGTGCTGGTACGTTGTCGACAAATTTTTTAATGCGTTTTCATTTGCTTATATAAGACAGAATGTTTCTAGAACCAAAGAGCACATTGTAGATCAGGCTTAACGAATATATTTTACGCTATTTGCAATTGTAGCAGCCGCTGAGAGAAGTGAATTAAAATCAATACAATCGTACTTGCGATCTTTTATGTTGCTAGAAAGATTAGACGTGGAGGAAAGTCCTGTATTAGTAGATTTTCAGCGTTCAAATTCAATCGCGTCTTTTTTCGCGACGATTACATGACCCAACTATCAACTGTCCGTTAAACAGATTTCACTCCAAGGGCAATAAATTCATGATGGAACCAACAGATGATGCCTATTAATTTAGCAGAAAGTCCGCTATGTCATATTAAGTCTATCGCAATAGGGGACTTTCTAATATTATTGATTGGAAATAAAATGGCCCGATTGTAATTTTAATACTATCAATATACAAGCTGGATTGAGAGAGAGAGAACAGTTCTTTATTACAAAATTCTATTTGTGTTCTGTCTATAAATTACTGTTGATTCTATTTGTTACATTTTATGGAATGTTAGTTGCTTTCGGTTTTGTAACGAGGCCTGTGAATGCAGAAATAACGTACTCTCCAAAACTAAATTGAGAATTACTTCGTCGATATATTTCGTTTTCGTAGATGCATTTAAAACATTTCGAGTAAAGATCGCTGGACGAACTTTTAATCGTTACAACACGAGCAAAATTTGAATTTACATAACAAAGAAAGAGGTCAGTGGCAAGAAAAACAGGCGAAGCTGTTGTATATTGTTGAGATAAAATTCTTTAAAAGCTAGAACCGTCTCGTACAACTCGAGCAATTACTTAACGGCGTCGCAGGAAATGAAAGACTTAAAAGATGCGTAAACCAATGCGTGTTCGACGTTCGAGATTCTTGTTGGCCCTGAAAAGGGCCGTTTAAGATGTCGCAGGTAATTCCAATTTACTTGGAACTAGTGTACTTGGTCACTGCCTTCGTGCCTTCGCTGACCGCGTGCTTCGCCAATTCGCCGGGCAACAGGAGCCTCACCGCGGTTTGTATCTCCCGGGAGGTGATAGTCGAGCGCTTGTTGTAATGCGCTAATCTCGACGCTTCCGCGGCGATTCTTTCGAACACATCGTTGACAAAGCTATTCATGATGCTCATAGCTTTGCTGGAGATCCCAGTGTCCGGATGTACTTGCTTCAGTACTTTGTAGATGTAAATGGCGTAGCTCTCCTTCCTCTTCCTCTTCTTCTTCTTGTCGGTCTTGCTAATGTTCTTTTGGGCCTTGCCGGCCTTCTTCACGGCTTTGCCACTCGCTTTAGGAGGCATCTTCGTACAGTCGGAAGGCTACTTGCGGATGGAACCACGTACAGCGTCCACGATGTGCGGATGAGTAAACGCCACGGCAGCGACTTCAACCTATATATACTAGTTCGTGTCGCCACCGGCGGACCAATCGGAAGGCTGGGAGACGAGCATTGGTGGGGGGGCCGTTCCTATTGGTGGACGGCGCCGACGTCGCGGAGTATAAAGTAGCGGCGCATTGCGGCGGAGCGTCACAATCCTCTTGCTTCTCTCGAACGAAGGATACCTGTCAGCCGAGCAACATGTCTGGTCGTGGAAAGGGTGGCAAAGTCAAGGGAAAGGCGAAGTCTCGTTCCAACAGGGCGGGACTGCAGTTCCCCGTGGGCCGTATTCACCGATTGCTGAGGAAGGGAAACTACGCCGAGCGCGTTGGCGCCGGTGCACCGGTCTACCTGGCTGCGGTTATGGAATATCTTGCCGCTGAAGTATTGGAGTTGGCCGGCAACGCCGCCCGTGACAACAAGAAGACCAGGATCATTCCCCGTCACTTGCAACTCGCCATCCGCAACGACGAGGAGTTGAACAAGCTGTTGTCCGGCGTGACCATTGCCCAGGGTGGCGTCCTTCCGAACATCCAGGCCGTGTTGCTACCCAAGAAGACTGAGAAGAAAGCATAATTATAATCCGGCATCCATCACAAATGGCCCTTTTCAGGGCCACAAAATTTTATGACGAAGGAACAGTCTTGTTTAGCATCCTTAACCTTAAGTGTTTTCGTACTATTTTCCGTTTTCTCTTTTACAACTTTAAAAATGATGCTTTGCACACATAGTAGATTAGTAGTCCTGTGTGAAATCGATTTCAACATTGCACACGTATTGTTACTTGTTCAATAGAATATCCGTGAAGATTTTCGTATATAAGGTTAGAAAATTGGCTCGGTGCTCTTCGTTCTTATTTTATTTAGAAATTTAATATCTTCAGTTCGATACCTTTATGCCCGTTTCTACCAGCGCAGCTTAACTTTAATCTCTGTTCAACTTTACATCTTTTTCTAGTTTTACGAATATGAGAGATAAGTAATTTATACGGAGATCAAAGTTATTTGTATTGGGGGTAGAAACGAACGTTATAGAAGTGCTTTTATACAAATGTGGATTATGTTTTCTATAACGTTATTTCTCTAAAATTGATTGTGCTCGGCTTGTAAATTTAGGTAACATGGTATATGAGATTTAAACCTTTGCAGTTGCTTGTGTCTCACTTGCGTTTATATATTTATCCAGTAAAATATCGGGAAACGGCTTCATATTCGACTAAGGCACATCATGTGAGCACAATGTATCACGAAATGGCGTTGGAAGAGAAGTGTTCCTGCCATTGTTTTCATCAAATATCGTACAAAGAAACGCGACTATTCCGTACCGCTTACACAATGTTTATACCATGAATTTAATTGTAATATTTATTTAGAGAGAATCGCGCGCTACACATACTCTGGACAATAAAATTGTTCTCATCATAATTAGTAAAAATAGCTAATTGTAAGATTAGACAGTGCTTCATGAAATACGATTCGTTTAATTTACGTCTTGAATTTCATCGCGAGATCGTATAATTTTGTTACAAGATCATAATTCGTTTCAATATGATTACATCGAAAATACATGTAATTTCGTAGCATGTTCGTTAAATCAATTGTTGAATTGAAATACACATTTGGCCGACGAGTCCTTCCAAACTTTATCCAGCTCAACCGAATGAGCAATTTGGATATTTCTTGCGCTTTGTTATAACGATATGAATTTTATTGGATTGTTAGAAAATTGTCCCCGTACGATGTTTGGCTCGTGTATTCTGTAACTTGCTCCAGTATAACGTCGAAAGCGTGAGGCAGCTGTTACAGACGACACGGAGCTCGACCAATGAGGTCGAGTCGGTGCCAACTGCGCGATGCAATTGGTTGCTGCGCGTCACCTCCGTTTCGTATATATACGCGTGAATCCGGAGTCGAGCGCTCAATCGACAGTTATACCTCGTCGAGTCTACAACGCAGTTTTGCTGATATTTCATCATGCCATCGAAGACCAGTGGTAAAGCGGTGAAAAAGGCGGGAAAGGCCCAGAAGAACATTAGCAAGACCGACAAGAAGAAGCGAAAGAAGAGGAAGGAGAGCTATGCCATCTACATCTACAAGGTTTTGAAGCAAGTGCATCCCGATACCGGAGTATCCAGCAAAGCCATGAGCATCATGAACAGCTTCGTTAACGACGTGTTCGAGAGAATTGCCGCTGAAGCATCGAGACTGGCGCACTACAACAAGAAATCGACCATCACGTCTCGTGAGATACAGACTGCTGTGAGGCTTCTTTTGCCCGGCGAGTTGGCCAAGCACGCAGTTAGCGAAGGCACGAAAGCAGTGACCAAATACACCAGCTCCAAGTGAATATTTCGTTCACATTGCACATCCATATCGGCCCTTTTCAGGGCCAACAAATGCTTAAAACATGGAAATCTCGCGTTTTATTCACAATACTTCCCCGTGTATCCTGCGTTCCTACCCTGTCGTTTTTAACAACGCAAATCTCTTTGAAGCATTACAGAAACTTATATTGTTTATCGTTATGCAAAGAAACATTTGATATTTCAACTGAAATTACATTCAGATTCGAGTTCCGTTCATATTTTACGCAATAAATTTTTCTGCAGCGGTAGAACGGTTAAAGAATGGTCATAAAGTCGATCATCAACTTGATTATGTAAATACTATAAAAATCTAGCTCGACCGAAAAGGCACTTTTCTACTCTAAGAGGTTAAGAAAGAAGCTGTACATAAAACAATATTTTAAGTAGAGAAACTTAATAATTTTAACAAATATAACTTGTTTAATATGTGATATGTAAATTATTAAGTTTTAAATGCTCTACTCTAAAACAGTCTTACGTATATCTTTTTCTTAATCTTTTGCTTTATTTATTGCTAACAAATGTCATTTGATACTATTTTTAAAAGCTTTCAGTTAATAGAATTTAGAATTGAAATTATTCCTATACCTCAGATTCGTAAGAAGACCTTTAACGGAACTATTCTTGTCATATAAATATTTTAAAGTAACGACCTCTCGAATAGATTAACATTCAAGCATTGTCGAACTTCTAATTATTAATAGGATGTATCTATTGTATATTAGTTATTTTCTAATTACTTTCACAAGAATGTTAGCTAAAGAGAAAGGAGATTCAGATTTTCAAATCTCTTGATGAAAAATTACCACTCTATCATCATTCGTTAGATTGTACATTTTATTAGATTTAATTCTCCTTCTAATAAAGAAAGAAGAACAACGCTTTGAAACGTTCGCAGCCTAAATAACACTTCAAAATACAGGACGAGGAAATGACAATGTTCTCTAAAAATTTCTAAGGTTATTCTCCGTCCTTTTTAGAAGATAATCAAATTTAACTGGAAAATTCTACCACGCATTCTCCTCCATTCCAAATAGTCAATCTAGAACGTGCAGAATCAAGCCCTTCTAACAAAGTTCACTTAATATGTGTAATATATATTTGAGAATTTCATCATTTGAAACTTATTGTTGATAACTACATCGTAATCGCAATCAGCCAGTTGCTGCAGGCGAGCACGTTTTTTCGCCAGTACTCGGCAATTTTGCTCATCACTATATTATCTTAAAGATAATTTTCCACTCAACGAACGTTACGTACTGAAAATGCTTCGCGATATAAACACTTAAGAATTGCAAAGTCAAACTATTACAAGCAAAAGTATAGAAAATATTTGTAACTAGATCACATACTTAGACATCCTTTACTTTTATCTTGGAAAAATATTGTTTCTTTTGCATCAGGCGAATTATTTCCTAACAGCCCCAAAAAGTAAATGTGCAAAATTGTAACGAAGTAATAACCGTATGAGAACTTCCTAGTGAAATATACGAAGGAAATTTTAATCGCTATAACGAGAGACATTTAACGTTCGAAATGTTTGTGGCCCTGAAAAGGGCCGTTTTTTGAACATAGTAAAAATAGTCTACATTTAACCGCCGAAGCCGTACAGAGTTCTTCCTTGGCGCTTCAGGGCGTAGACGACGTCCATAGCAGTGACAGTCTTCCTCTTAGCGTGCTCGGTGTAGGTGACCGCGTCACGAATAACGTTTTCTAGGAACACCTTCAGCACACCACGAGTCTCCTCGTAGATCAATCCGGAGATACGCTTGACTCCGCCACGACGCGCCAGACGACGGATGGCCGGCTTGGTGATACCCTGGATGTTATCGCGAAGTACTTTGCGATGTCTCTTCGCTCCTCCTTTTCCCAATCCTTTTCCTCCCTTGCCGCGGCCAGTCATGATGACTCGATTTTGATCGTCGTACGTACGTGCGTGTACTCGAGGACGAACCAAGCGGTTTTGGATGCTCGCTCGGACTGCGACCAATTTTATACCCTGGCTGCGGTGCTCCCCACCCCGCTCTAACAGCCAATAGGAACGTACTCCGTTCCTCGCCTATCCCCTCTCTCCGGCCACTATCCGTCATAGGCATAACTTGCCCCACTCTTGAGACGTTAACCAATCGCGTGCGACGCGTATTCGCTGGTACGCTATATTAATAGAGGAATTTCGACAGAACTCGCAATCCGACTTGGAAGCTCTCTGTTACTTCGTCAGACGCATCAGAAGTCTATTACGATGGCACGTACCAAGCAGACGGCTCGTAAATCGACCGGAGGGAAGGCGCCTCGTAAACAGCTAGCCACTAAAGCTGCAAGAAAAAGTGCCCCGGCTACCGGTGGTGTGAAAAAACCTCACCGTTACAGGCCCGGTACTGTAGCCCTGCGTGAGATCCGTCGTTATCAGAAAAGTACGGAACTATTGATCCGTAAATTGCCGTTTCAACGACTCGTTCGTGAGATCGCTCAGGATTTCAAGACTGATCTTCGCTTCCAAAGCTCTGCTGTGATGGCATTGCAAGAAGCCAGCGAGGCCTATCTCGTAGGTCTTTTCGAGGACACGAACTTGTGCGCTATTCATGCCAAACGAGTTACCATCATGCCTAAGGACATCCAATTGGCACGTCGTATCCGTGGCGAGAGAGCATAAGCGCAACAAGTTTTTAAAATTAATAAACGGCCCTTTTCAGGGCCAACAATCTTTCTCGAAGGATATCGACCGTTTACGCATATTTTACTTGTAATCGCTGTAAAATTATACTTGCTCTTTGTAACATCTAGGATTACACTTGTCGATCAAATTGTGTCCGAGACGAGTTTAACTTAACGTCGGATTTTCAAAAATATGAAATGTAAAATTTAAATTTGAAGGTTTGAGTCATTTTTCAATTTAAATTGATTGAAGCTTACAATTTATTATAAACAGCACTACTATTAACGAAGACATAAATGTTCTGAAGTTTACAAATTAGCGAGATTCATATATTCGTATATCACAAATTTTCTATATTTGAATGTACATATAATTGTACTTTTTCGTTGACTATGCCTGACGTTCAAGCATGAATTTAGTGGATTTTAATATAAAAATGTTTATCTTCGATTAACTTTCGGCTCAAAACCATATGAGATTACCATTGCACAACCTCATAGTGAAAAATTAGCATTATTTTTATAATTTTCTTAGCACAAAAAGTAGTGCTACTCTTTAAAGCAGAAACTGAGAGCGCATAACTTTATTAAACTGTTAGAACAGATGCATCGTTTATGCGCTAACTGTTTGACTTAAATTTCGTTCAAGAGTCCTTGTCTTCCCAAACGTTGGAAAATAAGACTTCAAAGTATATTTAATGTTATAAGAAAAAGTTGTTTTAAGATTGACAAATAATCGGCACGCAGTTTACTGACAATGAGTTGGAAAAAGTATAAGAAATTCATGAAGAAATATTGGAGTATCAAGATCTAGCCCTACCGAAAGAAAATGATAATTCTCCAATTAATTATAGGAAAAATAAGAAATAGACGTAAACAACTATGTCCATATGTTTTTTTTATAATAAATTAATGATTTTAATAGTAAATTTAAATCTAAAGTTTGCCTTGAGTTTTTGTTTCGTAAACGCTCTATTTATATCCTTTATATGTACATGTCCTTTACATTTACTTATATGATGTCGACATTTGAGAAAGTCGTTTCATTCTCTATAAAAGCTTCCTAAATTGAATTTACTTACGCTAAACGATTGCAAACTTTATTATCCAAGATTCAAATATAATCGTAGCAAGTATCGAGACAAGCACAAAATCAACGCAAAACTTTTAAAAATTGTTTTTAACAACTGAAAAAATTTGAAATCAATATTGGGTTAAGTAAAAATTATTTTCAAGAAATATATCAAATATTCCAGAAAAATGTATATAGAAATATACATTTAAATTAAATTTATTATTGTAATTAAGTTTAATTTAAATGCATTTTTACTACAATTCCAAAAACTCTTACGTACAGCCATGCAATTATCGCAGTATAGTAAAACGAGTGTTTTTATATAGCAATTAATTTAATTTTCATTAATTCGGCATTACTAGAGTGCGGTGTAATAAATTCCCGGTAATATAAACGTAATGTTTTTTTAAATCACTTGTCTATATACGTTATTGTAATAAAGAAAGTTTTGCAATGATTTTGTTTTCTTTTATTGGCATAATTGAAGTCCAAGGACCGAACTTAACTTGAAATATTCTGAAACCTATATTCTTACAGTTGAAGCTCTCTTAAATTAGCTGAGATTTAATAAACTTTTAACAATCGTGCTTACATTGTCATAATAAAAAGAGTACTATAAGGTATATTTTGCCGACGCGACATATTCATCACTGATGGGAACATTAGATTGTTAATTTCAAAATCATCGTTTTCGTCATTTATATTTTATTTATTAACATTTTCTCTGAAATAATGGAAATGAGAAACACAAGTTTCAGCAGTGTATTCAAGAGAAACGTACGAGCAGCTGCCGTAGCGGTATTCAGCCAATGGCAGCATCGCTCGCACGCCATTGGCCAACGTTAGCGACCCAATTGTGTATAAATAGCCGCCACAGAAGCCGGCGGAGCCAGAACGTGTTCTACCGTCGTACGGTTCGCATCGAGGTGTTTGACGCTTTATCAGAGCATTCTCAGGATGTCCGGACGTGGCAAAGGAGGCAAGATCAAGGGGAAGGCGAAGAGCCGCTCCAACCGAGCCGGATTACAATTTCCCGTGGGTCGTATCCATCGGTTGCTGAGGAAGGGAAATTACGCCGAGCGCGTCGGCGCCGGTGCACCGGTCTACCTGGCTGCGGTTATGGAGTATCTTGCCGCTGAAGTACTGGAGTTGGCCGGCAACGCCGCCCGTGACAACAAGAAGACTAGGATTATTCCGAGACATCTGCAGCTCGCTATCCGCAATGACGAGGAATTGAACAAGCTCCTCTCTGGTGTCACCATTGCCCAGGGTGGTGTGTTGCCGAACATTCAGGCGGTGTTGTTGCCGAAAAAGACCGAGAAGAAGGCGTAATCGTGAACCGATTACGAGATACGACATGCAACATGCAATTTGTTGCTAGAAATGACAAATGGCCCTTTTCAGGGCCCCAAATATTCGTACGATAGCACAATCTCGTCTGTTTCGTGTACATTTGTCCCTTACTTTTTATCTCGCAATAGTTTATAAAAAAATATCAATCAATATTGAAGCAGGAAAGAGCACTTGGAAGACTTGCTCGGGAAGTTCCATCTTCTCAGTTCCGAGATGATAGAAAAGAGTTCGCAAGTTACGTTAAAAATTGAATCTGTAAGTTGTTGAAGGCAGTTTTACTTTGTGACCTAACCTAACTAATAGTTAAATTAAACGTCCATCTTCGTCTAATTTGAAGGAAAAACTAGCAATAAGACATTTGATTTAACTCTATGTTAATTTACAAGAGATTGAAACAACCCCGGCTCTAAAACTGTTATGTATAACCTAAAACGTAGAGGAAATCGCCTATTGTGATAGAATCCTAATAAGAGAGCGGGATTTCTACACTTTCTACTACATCGATACGCATCATCTGTTGGTTCCACTATGAATTTATTGCCCTAGGAGTGAAATCTACATCTCTAAATAAAAAATTTATTGTTAGATTGTGTAATAGTTGCACGAAAAGAGATTTGTGATTGAATTTGAATGTTGCAAACTTGCTATCTCATACTAGAAACCTATCTTATAATCGGGGACTTTCCTATATGTATGTACATACTTTTTAACGGAAAACAATTATGTAGAGAAATATATAAATGTCTCAAGTTTTATTTTTTCTACGTTTTATGCAAATTGTAAATTTAAAAACTACTTTATATAGAAGCAATAGGGATAAAAAGCATGAGAAGGCCTTTGGGTTTGGATCTAGGGTCCCCAATCCAAGTTGTTTCTTTTCACACGTAACACGTGTCCTAAGAAATAATAAAATGTTAGAATTATATAATACAGATCTGATTATTCAAGACAGATATTGTTTTCAAATATATTCTTGAAATCCCACAAAAGTACTCCACAAAAAGTATCTTCTAACTCTTGAGTAACTTTCCTCCTATCAAAATTAACTGTTAATTTATAAGTGAAATAATAGCAAACATATTTTAACAATTACTTTTCTACTTTGAAATTAAATCAGAGAAGACAGTATCTAAATATAGTTTTGAAGCTCATTTTAAATAGTACTTGTGTCATCAAATGTATGATTTTATTTTACCAGCTTCCACCAACCTATTTGTATAAGGCGCACATCTGGTACTTGTCATATAAAATATTATATAAAGGAGTAGTTTCATACAAACACATATCATATACATATTCGACAATTTATATTATTAGTATACACTATACAGTATTGTGATTGTTAGAATTTACATGTGTATTTGTAAAAGACTGGGTAGTAATAGTCTGCCTGGATTAAATTGTATATTTCTTGATAAACATTCATAAAAGTTGAGCAATTAATTTATTTAACAGTGGTATCATAAATAGCATTGCTTTTTGTGTCAGGAATAAGTATCAAATAGCTTACAAGTCACGAGATTTGCATTTTTTCTCATGATAATGTTTATGTACATATACACATACATTATCACGAGAAAGAAAAGTTATGCATGGCATATATGTGTGTGCTTTTCTTCACCAAAGTGGTTTCACATACGGTTCAATATACTTTGGATTGAACGCAAATTTGATATTTCTCTCTCAAGTTCTCCACCATTAGGCTTACTAAAGAGAGTTGTTAAACACTTGGAAATAACATCCTGACACTTTGTTATTATCTTTCTCCTGCAATAAAACAAGTTTTAAATTAGTGTGTCGAGTAATATTTAACATTTGCAATTTTGATAGCGACTAAAAACAAAACATTTCTTTGTGTACACCTAAATTAAATTAGGTCTTGCTCCCTTTTTCTTCTTGCTTTAAAATATTTTATTTAATTTGCAAAAAATCGGAGTTTCTGTAGATACTACTCACCTGACAAAACTATTCATTACGGTCATATTTTTTATGAAATGATTTACCAAGTTCGCTGTTGATTCGATTAGATGAAATTCATTGCCCTCATTTAACCAAATACGGGTATTTTTACCAATCATTCTAAAGACAGACAATTCATGTATAAAGTAAACACTTTGTAACACCAGAAATTTGAATTTAATCAACTTACTTATCATAGATGTCTAAAAGATCTTCCATTGCCACTCCCAATTCCAAAAAAGAAGTTATAATACTAGTATTAGTTACTTTATATTTACATGCCTTCATTTCCAGTTGTTTTACTAGAAAATCTAAAATGTGAAAATAAAAGAATTTATGAAAGACACATTGTAATAAAACTATATTATCGACTTGAAATAAAAATACACATATGAAATAATTACCAAGTGGAAAACAATATGGCGATCCAATGTATTCTTGACCAAGTAAATTAATTTTACACATCAAGATGGTCATTTTATCTTCATTCGATGGTTCTGTTGCATTTTCTAATTCTGTAATCATTAAGAATTCACTGGAAAGCTCAAAAAAGTATTGTTACAATGTTATAAATATGTATGTAAAATGTATATATTGTATACCGTTATCAATTATGTTGGTCCAAATGCCTTTAATCAACATGTCATCTTGATGACCAGAGCAATGAATTATAGCCAGTTTGCATTCCCAAAGTTGTAAGGGTTCTGCATATTCTTCATATAACTGTAATTAATGTTATACATAAGAATTTCCAGGAAAATGATACTTAAAGAGAGGTGAAATATATCTATCAAAATTACAAACCTGTGTAATGTCGAGTAATGAAGAATTTAATCTCAATTTTGCATCTGTAACTATCATCGTATCAAATAGGTTTTGCCGATTGGTGATAATCTCAAGTATCTGTTAAACAAACGATAAATAATTAATACTCTAAATGTACTACCCTAAAATGAAAAGCTTGAAATATACCTGTTGTTGCATTCTAGCTACTTCCAATTTATCCTCCAATTCACGTAAAAAAATTCCAAGATAAGGAGCATATCCAGTCTGATCGCTTCGCATACATACAACTGCTCGTGCTAGATATTCAACTCTCTTTGAGAGCGATATTTCCGCTCTGTACAAAAAACGAATAAAAATTTTAATATCTTTGCAAAAGAATCATATATTATAAGTAATATGTGTACATACCCGACTTTGCTGGCTAAAGAATCCAAGATTTTTGCTGCAGCAGCGTGATTCTTATTTCTTTCATAGAATTGCCAAAGTAATTCAGGTGCATTGACACGATTGAGGTAAGTTTCTAGCGAAGGCGCAGCAAAAGCAACTAATTCACCGTGAAGTCCTCTATCAATCATCCAAGTATAAATAGAAGAATGGAGAGTTTCACACGGTGCGTGCAGTGCATCGTCTATGATCTCGTGTAACTAACAAAGAAAAAATATATTTCAAATAAGTATTTCGAATAATTAAAAATATTACATTACATTACACTACGTACAATTTCTTTCGCCGGCATTACTATAGTATTTGACACCGTTTGTAAAGGTGGTCCTGGCTTGCTCGGTATAGTTGGTGTTAAAGGATTAGAGATGCTCTGATGATACAAGTGATCCAACATGGTGGTAAATTCCTTATAAATCTCTAAACTGTAAAAATAACCCAAAAAAATGCGTTAAATTATTACTCGTGGCTATCAATACATGTATAAAGGTATACACTGTTGTCACGTACCGCTTTGTAAAAGCCAGATTTCCTTCTTGATCCTCTATGGGCTCGTTGTTCTTATAATAATGCGAAGCAGCATTATTGGGATCTATCCTTTCCGCACAACAAATACATAATTCAAGTACACCCGTGTAGAATTGACATGCAACAAACTGCTGGCACACTGCATTCAAATTCAACCTGGGTGCTACCTCTTTACAAAGCTGTATACATATTTAATAAATAAGTAAAATTAAACATTGTCTTGCGTTGAGCAAATAATATTAAAACATACCATTAAAGCAGATTGCAGATAACGTTCTTTTTCCTCAGGATTAGTGCAGCCTTTTGCTTTAAGCAGAATTTCATTTGCCTAAATTTATAAAGATGGTTATATTTATACAAATGTTCATATCTATAACTATAGAATAAAAGATAACACATTCGTATTATACCTTGGAGCAAACGGCATCTTCAGTTCTATATAAGTTGGGACACACTTCTCTTAATTTCGCACTTACGGAATCTACCGATGCATTATCCCCAAGATAACTAAAAAATATTGACTGTAAATTACTGGACTACTTTTATCAAATTCGCAAACTTACCTATCAATCAAATGAACAATGAGTAGAGAGGATATTTCGTGGCCTATTAGTATCAAGTCTCTAAAGGTAGCTGTAGAAAATTGAGTAATCTGATCCTGAAAGATATAATCATAGATTTTTATCATGAAAATAAAAACCAGCTTTTAAAAAAAATGTAATTAAAATTAAATAATAACCTTTGATAGACAGTTGATGATATTATTTAGCTGATTCTCGCATAATATTTTCCATAAACCCAAAACCTCGCAAGCATGAGTGATGAAAACTTTTAAAGCATCCAACGAATTTCTTTCTTCCACAATTGGTTCTTGAAAATGACTTTGAATTGTCGTTTCAAAACCATCTGTTAAACCTCTACTTGTGCTTTGCCTGTATACGTATACACTTGGTTTTAGTCTTAATTGACTTACTGATTACCTTATTATGCTAATAAAATAATTGTGTATTATATCAAAGACTTATATTTTAGAAAATACATACTGTTTTGTAATACGTGTATTTTTGTTCAAGAAAGATTTTAACGCTTGCAAGTGACCTAAAATCCAAGCTATTTGCGTTGCTGGTACTGTACTGGATATCTGAAAAAAGATAAGTAATACCTATGACTTATAAATATTATTATTTTTGGGACTTTAACTTAAACATAATTTGTCTCAAAGTAGTTCAAAGAATCGAGAAATTCGTTAAAAAATTAGGTTCACTAACAATCTTTATCTAATATCACTTACCACGCTTTTATTATTTATCGTTTCTTGTTTTATACATCTTACATTCCATATAGGACGAAGTATTCTTCCTACATACAAGTATAACCCACTATGTTTGGCGGAGAAATGTTGCAAACCAATGTCTGTGCTGAGCCCCATTTGCGTAGGTGATCGAAAGGTTTGAACTCTAGAATCAAAGCTTGGCACTCGAGGCGTAGACGTACGTAAATCTGCAATGTATTGAAATTTATTTTCAATATAAATCGAATATTATATGGAGATTTATCCTAATTAATCCTATACTATAAGAAACAATAAGATACCTGGGTTTATGGTAGGAAAGCTAGAATGCATATCAATTGATGGATAAATCCCTGCTATTCTTTGACCACCATGTAGGAAGAATGCACGAGTTGCCCATTCCGACAACTAATAATAAAAATACATATTAATGCATTATTATTAGAGAGAGAGTGTGTGCGAGTTTTATAAATTATACAAATGTGTGTGTAAAAAATATGCCGTTACCTGAGCATTTTGAGAACTTTCGAGCGTCGCCAAGATTAGGCATGTAGCACAAGCTTGTTCCAAGGATTGTGTTTGAAAATATGCGCGCACTACTTCAGTATCAGGCCCACGTTGTTCTAAAAGAAGCTGTTTCAATATATCTACAGGACGAACTTGCATTAAGATTAACGCTCCCTGTAACAAAGCGAATAGAATAAGAATAATAAACAATGTATGCGCATGTCTCATATAAATATAGATAAGAATGTACTCATTAGATACCTGTGCTGTTAAAAATATAAATTTTCTTGGTGGTTCCATATGTTGGCGCACTAACAGAGGAGGCTCACCCTGAGCACTGCTTTGCTTCTCTATATGTATAGCTGAATCTCTTATGATCTCCTCCATAGCCCAAGCTGGACTATCAAGAGGCAAGATACTTTGTGTTTCAGCCAAGAAATTTGTGAATGGATAAGCATCGTTACTTAAACACCATGCAGTTTCCGTGTCACCACCGCAAACAAGGAAGAGGGTACCTAGAAAATGTTAGAGTGCGGCAAGTCACGTTAAACGCGTTATTCACGACGTATTGCAAGAAAATAATTTACCCTTTCGATAATATGCCATTTGTACTTTTCGTGGTCTCATTACTGGAGCATTTGCAGCATAGCCTGGTGGTAATCTGACGTGTATCAATTGTAAACCTTGTGGCCTACTCGAGGGATTTGTAACAGAAGTGCAGCTGAAGTAGAAACGAGTTCCCGTTGCCGCAACAACAACCAAATTCAAGTGTACCGATTCGTATTCCATTATGGCTGATATGCTTACAAGAGGTCGAAAATTGTTACTATCCAGAGTTCTGTAAGAAAAAAGTTGCGTTGATTCGTAATTCATTAGTTAGTTAATATTACATCAAACTATTAAAAGATTACCTACTTAACAACATGGACAGTATTTTGTACCAGGGAAGCCTGAGATAACGAAGTGACTTTAGATGCGCCACCGTTATCAATATCCCAAACTGTGATTGTACCCCTATCACCCAAAGTATACAAAATGTTACGTGAATCATCCACAGATATCTGTATTATAGCTTCTTCCTCCGATAAAGCCATGGTGACAAACGACGGTACTAGAAATGACAATGGACCTTCCGAATGATTAACCTTTTTACATCGTTTGCCGAACCAGCTGCTTTCCGCCTGCAAAAAAAAACACCCATTAGTGTAAAGATTTAGAGCAATAAAATATAAATCTCGGTTGTAAAGATTTTCAACCTGATAATATATCTCAAACAGCGATCCATTTCTTCCACCAAGGAATATCCTGCCGCTACTGGTATTAGCAATCGTAGTGATTCCTATTCCATCAGTTGTAACAGTAAAGATCGGTTCTGGGACTAACTGCATTTCTACAAATACACACAAAGAACAATGATTGTATCCAGAGGGTGATTATTAACGGACACGAATACAGAATTATGATCATTACCTCCTCCATCATCAGGTATCGTAACACCAAGAATGGTTATTTCTACCGTTGTCGTGAGAATCAATAAGTACTTGACATAACTCTGGAAAATTCCTGCCTTGGGCTTTACTAAACCTACGCTTATAATAGTCTCGTTTAAACAATCAAAGTAAGCGACATCAGACCTGTACAATTTTAGAACAAAAGTTTACGCATTTCAGTTCTGAACATATAAATTTATATAAATACTTGTCAATAAAATTCAAAATTCAGTACTCACTCATTTTCATACGACCACAGATAAATATCGCTGTCGATTGTAAGCCACGCCTTCGAAATTTCCGTAAAAAGACCCATCATGCAATGACATTGCATATCTATATTTCTATTAAGGATTAAATATATTTGACTTATTCATTAAACGGTCACACGTGATACAGAAATATAAGAAAAAATTATGCGTGATTTCATATAAGAGCAGCTGATTCTTAATCGGTAGGTCTCAACTCTCGTTTCATGTTTCAGTTATGAGAGTGTTTGATTGGAAATGACAGGAATAAAGTTTAACGTTGCCAGTAAATAATTAACGAATAGAGAAAATTATTAAACGATCCAATTGGTAGATGATTTATTTAATAAAAATCCATTTTGACCATCCGGATTGTGGTCCTTTTCAAGGACTATGTATTCAATTGAGCTCATTATCGAGTCTATGATAGAAAAAAAGTCCAAATTATAAAAAATTGAAAATTATCGTCTCCTGTTTGGCCATTGGTTGAAGGAGTTTGTGTTGCAAGGCACGTCAATACGGTGCAATGGCTAACAGTAGAGTTTTGTATACGTATTCCTTGAAAAGGGCCACAATCTGGATGGTTAAAACGTTGAATTTTTATTAAATGAATAAACCACCTGCCAGTTGGGTCACTTAATAATTTTCCCTGTTCTGTAATCGGAAAGTTGACGATAAACAAAAGAAGTGACCTATTTTAGGAATGATACGTTGATGCACAATAAGAACATTTGCTCTCACTACTTAAAAATGTATGCAGAAAGGATACGGCCAAAGTGTTCCATTACTTCAGAAGGCAAGGGAATTTTGCTATGTATCTTCATTTGATTAATATTTGTCAAAGTCAACGACGCGCCATTTAAATTAGGATAGTCGTGATCATCAAGACCACTAACGGTCGGTCCACCTGTAGAAAGTACATTACTCGCAGTTAGTTTATCCTCAAAATTGGCGTTAATATCTACAGTTACACTTTTGGATTTACAAATTTCTTTATGTAGCCGACGTACGACTTACCTTGCACATTGTATCGCATAAGATTAATTAAGGATGGAAAATTGCTGTCCGCAATAATGTGTTTATCCACCATTTTTCCAGCCATCTCTAACGAATCTAAGTGCATTTTTAGTGGCTCCATTTCTGTAAGCGTCATATTCCTCATTTCCTAAAGGAAATACTAAAAAAAAATGACGATATATGTAAACATGTAAACGATCGCAAATCTATTATAAGTGAGAGTATCATATAAGGTGTATTCCACTTAGCACTTTATTTTACAGCCAATAAATACCTTTAAAAATTTTGCGCAAGTTGATTTTGCTCGTATAAAATAGAAATAAATTTTTTTAACGCAAAGAGCACATTGTAGATCAAGCTTTAACATTTGCTAAAGCGTAATTGGAGTAACAAGTGTTGCAAGCGTAAATGAAACGTACCCACAGAGCTCAAAAAGTGGGGAAAAAAGATAAACTTTTCTTTATTCCTTTAGAATTACCTCTAATATTGAATGACACGAGGAAAAAAACGCTATCTTTAATGTAAAAAGTAAAGTTAAAAATTACGAAGATTCGGCAACGCCGAAATCGTGTGACAAGTAACACCATTTTAGAGGGAAATTTTTCGTTTGGTTTACTCTTTTACGGGGAATTTTAGAGGAAAGATGAGTTATAGGTTAGAATTGGAAAACGTGCATTTCTTCTAGAGATTAGAGCGCGATGTTTTTGAAAGCACAGAATAATGTAGGAGGAATTGACTGTAAATTACGGCAGGTGTTCGATAACAACATACTTACGTGGGCGCGCTACAATTCTTTCGAGGCGAGTAGAAAACATTAAGCGTAACTCCAACCGCGCTCCGCACTCACACGCGCCGGGCCGGCATCGCATTCGAATAAATTCAATTTCAACGGTACTCCTGTCGCGCATTCGCTCGTAGTACGTACATACTTGTGCGCATGCGCATATTACAGTTCAGCTGTAAAGAACAGACCCATCGAATCGCGCAATCACTTTGACGAACCCGCGCGCGCATTTGAACCTTTGAACGTTCAATTAATTGTAGTGCTGCTTTCAGTAACACATTTATGTTTAAAATTTATGTTGAAAAAATCTAAATATTTTTTGGATAGAGATTTTATAATCCACAGACACATCTAATTCATCAGGCAGAGCAATATATATTTAACTACTACAAATTTTGCAAGAGATAAAGGATAGAGATAAGGAAAGTGATAAAGAAAGGATACAGTTGATCTGAAGAAATTACATAGTCGAATAATTTTGTACTGAAAAAATAATTCTTTTTTTTTCGTTACAAGAACCTCAAGTTATGTAAAGAGTAACATTACAAGAACCTCAAGTTATGTAAAGAGTAAATTTACATAATCACTAACAAAATGGTATAATTATCAGGGTTGGGAAAGTTACTTTATAAAAGTATCTGGTTACAAAAAAATTTCAAATTTTAATCGACCTGGCCCGCACTTATTGAATACGCTTTCACAACGTTTCGACCTTTGGTTTAGGTCCTATCTATAATAGTTACAGTTACAGTTGCTTCGCTAAAAATGTAACTAGTTACAGTTACAAGTAACCAATTCTGAAAAGTAAGGCGTTACAGTTACTTAAAAAGTAACGAGTCGTTACTTTGCTGTTACTTGGCAATGAAAATAAAAATATCAAATCTGCATTTGAATTTTAAAGCGTCGATAAGGGCGTTTATGCGTAAATGTAAGGCCTGATGCAATCTGTGAAGGTTTAAAAAATATATAAAGTAACTGTTAAATTAGTTATCGAAAAAATATAACCGAGTTAAGTTACAGTTACAGATGGAGAGAAAGTAACGAAGTTAAGTTAGAGTTACCAACTGTAACTTCGTTACAAGTAACAAGTTACTTCCCAACCCTGATAATTATACATATATTGTATGATGGCGATAAATACAGTTTTAAATAATTAATAAAGTTTTATCATGCTGATGATTCTATATTGTATCTATACAATTTATAGGAATAATTAGAATTATTTCATTCTGATTTTCGCAAAGTTATTACTTGAAAAACAATCTTGATGACAAGCTCTGGTAAATTGTTGTGTCAAGTAAATTTTCTAGGATGATGTATGTACATACATGATAGTAGCTTGATAGAAATATAATTAAGTGACAAACTTATTGTAAAGAATTATAAAAGAAAAACAAACTCTTTACTTAACAAGTAATGAGAGAATGTCAAAAATATTTATAACTTGTATACTTGATTTATTTCTCCGGCAACTCATTACTACTGCTACTGCTAGTCACAGAGGAATGTCTACTCAGTTGCGGCAATTCAAAATGCCATAAATCTGTATTTACATGAAAACTGACTTTTTCATAATTTTGTAAAGGAGGTTTTGCTTTGACACCTATAGTTGTAGGTCGCTGAGCGGGATTCTCGTCCAACATCATTTTAAGCAAATCGTACTGCAAAAAGAGACATTTCATCACATTCCATGCAGCAATAATACTATAATTAATGCATTATACGTACAAAGCATTATAAAATTAATATATTCTTTTAATTTCTTTACCTCGGCAGGATGGTTCTCTGCAAAATCTTTCGGGAAAATGGACCTTTTTAGATCCGATAACACTACTACTCTCTCCATGTCAGTAGTAAATGGTGTAAGAAGCTCAAATAAGATTATTCCCAAAGAGTAAATATCCACTTTGTAGTTGTACATTTGGGCATTTATTTGTTCAGGTGACATATATAAGTGTGTGCCAACGCACGCAGTATGTATATTGTTTCTTAAGGAAATAGTCTCGTTCTCAGTCGAAGGCGTGTGAGCCCTATCGTACCCCTCAGTCATCGCTGTCACAAGGCCAAAATCGCCGATCTTTATCTTATCGTCGTAAGCGAAAAATATATTCGATGGCTAAAACAAAATTGTTTATTACAAAGTAGAATATTAAATAGATTTTCATTGTTTTAAGACAGGCGTTACTTTTAAATCTCGATGAATTAATCCTTGCAAATGCACATACTCCACAGCATCTACTATTTGTTGGAAAATATTTAGTATCTGAGAAAAATTTCTTGACGTGTGCTGCTTCAGCCATTCTTTTAGACTGAGTCTTTGGCACAGCTGCATCTGTATGTATAGGAACATTTTCACCGGCTTCTGCGTGTTCGGCGTCTTATTCTTTAAGTCTAAGGAAAGCGATTTTTGGCGTTTCCTTTTCTTTTCTTCTGTTGCAATATTATTGTCAGTTTTTTCAAACACGATGTTCTTGGAATAATCGATTTCATTAACATTAGACAAGTTGTTTTCAGTTTTACTGTTCGAAGAGGACAAGTCCGAGCTATCGGTATTGCAATTATTAATACAAATGGAATCATTGCCATACTGATTCTCGTTTGATTCTTTAAATTCAATTAATAAATCATCGTTCGCTTCCATGTTATTGAATTCTAAACCTTTACAGGCACTTTCTACAGAAGATTGATCGATTTGTAAAAGATCAATGCACACAGAATGATTAGGCTTTGTCTCAGTCTGAGTTGTTTCTGAAAGATAGTCAGTTGAACATCTTAGCTTATCAATCCATTGTTGATCGTGTTCTTCTTGCCACCCATTAGGAGGACACTCTAGCCAAGCGTGAAAGTATCTCACAATATTGTGATGATCCAATTTAGCTAATGCTTTTACTTCTCTCAAAACACGATCTCTTGAATCTTGGCTGTAATGGCATTTCTTTTATAAAATTATTATCCAGTTAAAATCCTATTGTTACTTATGTGCAATTTGTATTTAAGTGTAACTAGACGCTAATCTTTTAAAATTCAGGAGTTTTAATAGATTATATTACAAAAGTAGTAAATTTTAGAATTTTCTATATTTTTAATTTCAATAAAACATTGCGAAACATACATCAACATAACAAAAGAATAAAAAGTAAGTTTTTATAAATTAATAAAAATTAAATGGGTCTCGCTAAAGCACTCATACTATCAGCTCCTTCGTGCAGGAGCCACCTTAAATGTTATCATGTAGAAAAATACCCAAGTACTGACCTATTTGACAAAGCAATTCTCTTAATAGCATAATTACAATCATCGATTTTGTTTCTGGCTTCAAAGACCACACCGTATCCTCCTTTTCCCAAGCAATTGACTGGCTCAAAGTCCGTTAAGTAATGTGACTTGAAATTATTCACATTCTGACAATCATTAGTTGTATTACTAGTCTTGGTTTCTACATATCTTTCAATTATCACAGGCTAAAACATAGTGTTCACCTAATTAAAAATAAAATATAAAAAGAAGAAAAAATAGCTATCAAGATAATAAAATAAAAAGGAAAACAAAAGGAAAAAGATATATAATCATACAATGATTGATTTACTTACAGGAAGCATGGCATCTGTAGTAGGTGTTCTTGCTATTAATAAATATTGTGCCAACAATAAATTTAGCATGAACAATACGACAATTGTAAATAAAATTTCTTTCCTGGTAACAAAACAAAATTGAAATTAATAAATAATACATTTTATATATTAATATTTACATAAACAACTGGAGCATTTAAAGAAACTTACCAGTACCAAAATAATGTATCATATAAAATTTCACCATATTCCTTTTCAGTATGATTTATGGATTTTTCTGTGCTAGTGATTAGTAGAATACCAGGATTGCTATTATTACATTGCTTATCGTTAGTTAATTGATCTGCTGAATAAAAGTAAAATCCATTACCTATGAAAATATAAATTACATTCATAAATCTGTCCATATCTACAGTTTCGTATTTTATATTGATTTTCTACACATTTAAGCAATTTTTAAAACATTGTCATGTGTAAGGATATATTGGATAGATATGTCGTTTTGAAATTTTAATTTGACATTTTCAATAACGTGCCGATCATGACAAGTTATTTCCAATTTTTTACTTGCTCATTTAAAGTTACTGATTATTAAATATTGCTAACTTATACATGATCTTATGGGGGCTTTTTAAAGACAAATCATAAATCATTCAATTACTATGAAAAACCAATAAAATTTGATTTTTTTGTATCATGTTCTTCAAACATGTAAAAATGTTTCTGCGAAGTTTTAAAATGATTTGCTTGCTTGTTTTGCAATTATTATTTAAAAACCATTATGTAATTATACCGAATTAACTTTTCAAGCTTTACATTTTATCAAAATCATATTCTATTCACATTACTTTAAAAAAGATTTTATGAATTTCTTACAATTATGTGTCTATTAGAATTCGTGTTATATCCAATTTTAATTTTTTGATGTCTGGATTAACTTTTAAAAGACGATCCGTCCAATATAGCCTTACGTATTACATACCATTAATATAGTCTGAATTATGTAATACACCCGACAATATTGCAGACCGTGTTTTATCTGGTTCAATAACGGAAACTTCATCATTGTCGTTATCTTTGTCTGACAAAGCAACAGCAGATACTGGAATTTTAAAAGTATTAATAATAAATCTCATCTTTGCAAATAAAGAGTATAATATAAAACAATGTCTCAGAAAGTTTACTTGAACTTACTAGCTGCTGGATGTGGCTGCCATGGATATTTTCTATGTTGAATACCATTTAAATTTTTGTAATTATGATTTTCTTGTATATATAATTGTCTATCGTATATACCTAAGTATAAACCTGGACTAATTGTAGAATATTCCGATCCCCAAACCAACTGCGAGTTATCAAATAAGTCAATTTGTTTCAAAGATCCTGGAGAAACATCGGATGTGTCCACGCGCCATATTGCAACAATTGGAGAATCAAACTAATAAAAATAATCATTTTTATCATTTTGTTAGATGTAGAGGAGTCCCCTATTATGATTTATTGCCCTTGGAGTGAAATCTGTTTAGTGGAAAATTGATTGGTAGATCGTGTAATCGTTGCAAAGAAAGATTTGTCATTGAATTTGGACATTGAAAACCTACTATCTCACGTTAGAATTTTATCTCATAACGAGGACTTTCCTCTATTACATTATAGTTATAATTGTTATCAGGGTTGGGAAGTAACTCATTACTGGTAACGAAATTACAGTTAGTAACTTTTTTTAAGTAACTCTAACTTAACTTTGTCACTTTCTCTCCATCTGTAACTGTAACTTAACTCGCAATCAGTTACATCAATAGTTACTTTATATATTTTTTAAATCTCCACAGATCGCATTAGGCGTTTGCACATAAACACCTTCATCGATGTTTTATAATTCAAATGCAGATTTGATATTTTTATCTTTATTGCAAGAAAGTAACTGCAAACGATTTGTTACTTTTTGAGTAACTGTAACTAGATATTTTCATAAAGTAACTTTCCCAGCCCTGATTGTTATACTTGCATATTATTACCTTGTGTTGCCATAATTTAACAGTAGGATTACTTTTATTGACAGTCCAAATCAAACCTTCCGGAATAACCACTTTGATTTCCATATCTGTAGCAGAGTGTTTATTGGAACAAAAACCATTTGTAGATATTAGTTTTAAATCAAAATTTCCAACGCTGAAGTTCCATCTTTAAACAATAACATTATTTGGTACATCTTTTTTTTTAATTGAAACTTCGTGATACAAATATTTATGTTTAGTTTACCTCTCGCTACCTTTGCGAACCTCCACAGCTCGCACAGTTTGTTGAAAACGTTGAATAATAAGTATATCTTGCTCCACATACTCTTGATGATTTGTACTGTTGTCGCATCCAGAAAAACCGGAACATTCGAACAAAATTTTTCCTGTATTGGCTGCCACACCTATTTTACAAAACAAAAATAACTGTAATATTAATAAATGTAAATGTAAAACAGTTTCTAAAAAAATGCATCTAATAACAATCAATTAATTATATCAAAACTTACCGTAAGTATGTGCCTCTTTACCACCGGAAAAGATTAAATCAGAAGCAGAGATGCGCAATGATGAATGCAATAACTGATCTGCCGTTATCGGCACCACTTCCAATTTCTCCCCATCAAATGTGTATAAACCACCATTCAAGGATGGAATCAAACGTATCAATTGTCCATTATTATTAACCTGTAATACATATACAGGGTGTCAGTGAATGTTTTGTAATAGTCGACGAGTTACTAATTATAAAAAAATTCGTCGTTTTAGCCTGGCCTACCGCCCATTGCTTATTAAAAACGGCAACACCTATAAATAATAAGCAACTCCTCGCGTACCTACACACAAAGAAAGTCCCAAACATTCACTGACACCCTAGGCTTGTTTTCTATCGCTGCACTGGTGAAGTAGTGCAATAGATTACAATAAGATAAGTATGTATTTTTCTCATTCTAGCTTACCGCACTAGTTCACCAGTGCAGCGATAGAAAACAACCCAGATAACATGCATGTCTAAAAGATATCTTAAAGACGTCTTAAAGAAGTCCTGAAGATGTCTTTTAGACAAGCATGTTATCTGGGAAGCCTCCTGTATAAATTAATACTTTGTGTGTTTTGTTTCAGAAGGTAATTGTTCGAAAGCAGCCAGCTATTTACAATATTCAATACTGAAAAAATAGCTCTTGTAGAAACTTCCTTACTTGTATGTTATGAATATTGGATGACAACATCGGTCCATTGTTAAAATTTAAAGTCCACTGTATCTTGCCATTGTTAACATCCACTGCTGATACCTGCCCATCCAATGTAGTAACAAACAGCAAACTGGCGAAACAACATACATGTTTTAATAAAGTCTGTTACATCGACGCTGTAACGCACATTAATACCTCACTGTTCAATTCTAATCTTTAATGGCAAATTTGGTTGCTTGCACTAGTGCGCACCGAGTAGTACACACTAAACGCTTGTTTTCTGTTCCTACACTAGTGAACTAGTGCAATAAATTGGAGTAAGACAAGCATATTTTTTCTCATTCTAGCTTACTGCACTAGTTCACCAGTGCAGGAACAGAAAACAAACCCCATGGCTCGTTTACAGTCAAACTTATACATTTAACTTTGTCTGAAATGCATGTTCAGAGTATTTTGTAAAAAAAGAGATCCGTGTGAACGCTATACGGAGCATTCTTTTTAATAAAAAGTATTTCAAGAGGTATCTAAGACGATCCCTAAATGAATTTTACTCGGTTACTTTCACACGCCGCGAGTTTGCAAAATTCTCTCCAAGACGGGCTTCGGCGATCAACAGGTGTTTGATAAAACGCCAGTTTTTGACATGTCACTCGCATCTTATGCTTATATACAAAATCATGTAGGTCATCTCGTGTACAAACTAAATGAGAATCGTCGAGGTTAAGAAACGTGTGGGGGGGAAAAGAATTCTCGTTGCAGATATCGTTCGGATTTGCACGAGAGGGAAACGGAGTGCCCAAGTAGTCCGGAGTCAATCACCTTTCATTCTTCAACTGTTCGCCACACAATTGCCGCGAGGCATTCTCTGCGGTGACAAGGGGATATGCAATCAACACTATGCAATAGAAACATATTTGGTGCGATAAACGAGACATCTTGTTATCTGCGAGGCTGATCGATGTTCACACGTAGCATTCTGCCGTATCAAGTTTTATCGCGACGTTAGATTAATGCGAGTGACTAACGAGATGCTCGTAACAGACGCGGAATATATCGACCGACACGTTCAACCGACACCTCTGACCGCGGACATGCGTAATGCGCGTTAACTCAGGTGCTGACGACGATGTTTGATTCAAAACTGTGCGCATCGGGGCGCGTGCAGTTCGGTACTGTTTACAATTGGCCATTATTCATTCTACACCCTGAAAGTCCTGAGGACAAAAGTGCCACTCGTAAGGGGAAAAATAATAATTAACGAGTTTTCGTCGGATAAATAACATTTATCTCTTAAATTCTGATGATGAGAGGATGCGGTGATCGATTAAGGTCGTATAATGATCAAGATACCGCCATTTCAAAATCTACCATTGAGAGAACAATAAAAGCTTTCCGAGGAAATTGATACAAGTGTAAAAAATCGTGCATAGATCACACACTTTTACCCCTTACCGACAGACTTTACCCCTAGGTGCGAGTCTGGACTAAATCTATCCGATTTTACCGACAAATATTACTTTTTGGTTCGAGTCCAGGCTAAATGTCGGCAATTCTGTCGATAAAATTGGATAAATTTAGTCGGGACTCGAACCAAAAAGTAAAATTTGTCGATAAAATCGGATATATTTAGTCCAGACTCGCACCTGGGGGCGAAGCTGTCGGTAAGGGGCAATTAAGTGTGTGGCGATCTCGACAATTTACCCGGGCTTTTGGCGATCTGTGCTATTAATCTGTGCTGTAACAATATCTAACGAGCCTGGTATCCGAGTTCAAGTCCACCACGAGTGCGGACCCAGTGAACCGTTTCGGCAGCACTGCGCGTAGGCGAGATCGCGGCGCAAAAACGCGAGCGCAGCGTGAGTCGAAGTTGATCTGTTGATGTCCAGTGGTTCTGTGACGCTCGCACGGTCGCGCGGCGATTGCACGAAGCACGACGGGGACACATCCGCGAGTATTCGGGTCGGCCTGGAAAAGGAGGGAAAAAAAAAGGGGGAACTCGCGATCGTGACCATCGTGACTCACTTCCGCCGTCTACGTCACTGTCACCGTCTGCGAGAACGCGAGGTGCGTCCTGTCGCTACGCGGACGATAAGCGCCTGGTGGCTACTGCAACCGGGCACCGTCTGGATCCGTGCACGCGACATCGCCGTCCGTTGTTCCTCGTCGGTGCCGCGCCCCGTTTCCTGGCAAGGGGCACTCGCGACGATGGTGAGTATGGTGGTGACACGCAAGCGAGACGGGCAGCGTCGAGTCGGCGCGACGAACATGCGTCTAAACGAGTCCGCTACGCGCGTGTGTTCGCAGGCGTCTTACTCCGAGGATCAGCTGGCTGGTAAGTGGAGGGCGGCTGTGTAACGGCGGCGAGGCCGCGAGCGGCTCGCTCGGCGGCGATTGCGATCGAGTGAGGGAGCGAGGCGGCTGATGGTCCGCGCCGCGCCGCGCTCTCCTCCCCAGATTTTTAATTCAGGTCAAGAGTATCCTCGCCTTTTTAGACGCACTCCAGGCGTGCGCGCGCGCCTATCGACTGCCTTTTACGGTTCGGTATTTGAAAGCGAGCCAAGCCGCTGCCCGCGGGCGTTGTGGACAGCTTTAATCGCGCCCCCGTCTTCTCCGGAGAGACGCGCACTCGCCGATCATTCTGCTTTCACTCTCGCGAGTGTCACGAGTCACGTGCACTGTTGACGCGAGGCGCGCTTAGGAATTGTCCAGTGTTCTGGCGTTGTTGTGTCGTCACAGCAGCCGCTGAGCGACGGAGTCTTGCAATTAGTTCTCTTTGCAAAAGTATACCGAGATGTACGGCTACAGCTATCAGGAGCTGGCTAATAGAATGATGTCGTCTATGGAGGGTAAACAATCTTGTTGTTGGGCGGCACCCAGGATAATTTTATTATATCGTGTTCTAGAAGGTGGCAAATACAAGTTACAATAGTCTTCGAATCGAATTTGACACTTGTAACCCTTTTCGTCCTTGAGAATTAGTTTTATGTACAAGGCGACTGAAATGCTTGATTAAAAGTGAGTGTACTGTAGAATTCCAGGAGGCGTTTCAATTGTTCGACAGCCGCGGGGACGGCAAGATCCACGTGTCCCAAATCGGTGACGCGTTACGCGCCCTCGGTCAAAATCCGACCGAGTCGGACGTGAAGAAGTTCACTCATCAGCATAAACCGGACGAGCGTATCAGCTTCGAGGTGTTTCTACCGATCTACCAGGCGATCAGCAAGTCCCGCACCTCCGACACGGCGGACGACTTTATCGAGGGCCTGCGTCACTTCGACAAGGATGGAAATGGCTTCATATCTTCCGCGGAGTTGCGGCATCTTCTGACGACGCTTGGTACACATCAGACACCGTAGCTTTCCTTTTAGAGGAGAGACAAATCGACACACGTTAACAGGTTGCCACAGTTAAATGGCCAAGGTTCGAAGGGAAAAGACTCTCCTCCCGAGCAGAGTCGGAATTAAATTCTAAATGGAAAGCGACTTGTGTAGAAAATGTCGACTGTGTTCTCCAAAAGGAAAGCAGCTTTAATTTCCTAGAGTGTGTCTTGCAGAATTTTCATTGTGCGTACCATTGCAGGTGAGAAGCTCAGCGACGAGGAGGTAGAAACGTTACTGGCGGGCCACGAAGATTCACAGGGTAATATCAACTACGAAGATTTTGTTCGCCAGGTCATGTGCGGCTAAGCTAGCCACTTAATCGCACGCGATAGAGAGAGAGAGTATTTATCGTTTACTTTGCCACTTATTCGTCGAATCTGTTGAAGCGTTTTACTTTCCAAGTATCATATCATAGCATGTGTACGGTGATTTATCTCGAGAAAACCCCGTAACGTGAACACTATTTTATTACGTACTATGGAAAGAAGGGTAGTCCCTTTTATAAGAGAGAATCTAAATTAGTTAAACGATGGTAGGTAAAGAACAATCTAGCGCATTGTGCCTTGACGTATACTCCGATTTACGAGCATTTAGTGATATCGATAGTAAGACATACACCTATTGTACGATCATTCAGCGCGATATCTGAATTCCACGGACATTCCAAATTTTTGTTTTTGTAAGATAGAATACTCGGAGAAATCGAGGATGTCTGACCCTCAAGGGCGAGGACTGAGCATTTTAATTCACGCCAATACACTTAATGGCCATGTACTTTTCCCCCTTTTTCCCCTATCGAGTTCAATACATCCTGCGTAGTTGAAATGTATGTTCGAGGATCTTCCATCTAACTGTGACATGCCTTGGAAAAAGTGCGCGAAGAGTATCCATTTTATTTATTTATGCACGAGCGTATTTGTGTCTCCGAAATGCGTAAGCGAAGATTATTGTACATTGCAGTGAATAAAAGGAAAAATTGCTCTAAGAATACGTTGCGAAACTTTGTCAACGGTGCCCTTTGCAAGTAAAGCAGAGGCACAAAGACTGTTTAAGCCTCGTTTACATAGAAGTAGTTGTAAGAATAGTCGACTATGATTGGTCAATTCTTAAGCCCGTATCAGACTACGGATTGGGATTAGATTGAAATTTAACCAATCACAGTAAAGTTTACTAATCTCAAGTTCAGTAACTTTTACTCTGATTGGTCAAATTTCAATCTAATCCCAATCTCAATCCGTAGTCTGATACGGGCTTTATGGTATATACTTAAGGACCAATCAGATTCCTGAAGCCTCGTCTACATAGAAGTCGTAAAGTCGTAGTCGTAACAATAGTCGACTATGATTGGTCAATTCTTATGTGTCTGACGAAATTGACCAATCGCAATCGATTATTACGACTACGACTCTGCGACTCGCATTATGTCGGGTCTACAATGGGAGTCGCAGTCGTAAGAATAATCGACTGTAATTGGTCAATTCCGTTAGACACATAAGAACTGACCAATCATAGCCAATTATTCTTACGACTTACGACTTACGACTCGCATTGTAGACCCCGCATAAGTACGACATACGCCAAAGTTTCTGCGCTATCTACGTTTAAGCCTATCACACATTGCCAGGCAACAGGGCCCCGATTCTTGAATTCATTTGAAGAAGAAACGTATGCGAAAATTCTGCTCTAACAGAAAAGTTGAAAGTCGATTGGCTATTCGCATGGCTTTAACCAATCGACTTTCAACTTTTCTGTAAGAGCAGAATTTTCGCATACGTTTCTCCTTCGAATAAATTCAAGAATCGAGCCCCAGGAACAGGGAATAGAATTTCTAACGCGTTGGATTGGTTGGAAGAAAATTTCCGACGAATCCAACGCGTCGAAAATTCGATTCCCTACTGCCTGTTACCTGGCATTGTGTAACAGGCTTTATGAAGCTGTGACGTCGACCGCGACTCCCACTCTCCCAGCGGCAAGTACTGGGAGTGGGGGCGGCGCGGCGCAAGTGCGCAAGCGGCGTCCAGTTTTCCAGTCAGTATCGCTTCGAGCATCGTCGGATGAGATTCGTTCGATCACTCGTGCGCCCTGGGTGTGTTGCCGCAAGCTGCCGCAATCAGTTGTCGTCGCCGCCGATCGCTACTCCAGCGAACATTTCGTGTTGGAGCAGTGCACTTAAAGCCGCCAAAATTTTACGAAGAAAGAAGTATGAGTATTAACTCCAGTCGGTCGTTAAGTAATAGTGAAAGTAGTAAAAAGCCGATAATGCCGAGTTTAATTTCCAGTAATTGGTGAGTAAGCCTTCGAGGCGCCGAGTACACGTAACTGCGCCATTTTTGCCCTCGCCTTCCCTGCGAGTCGCCATCTTGCACGTCGCGTCTCCCGAACCGTGCCTTTTTCTCTTTACCTCCGCTTTTTCCGTTAGTCCCCCCCGTTGGTCATCCTCGCCTCTCCCTCGCGAACCCCCGCCTCCTATTTACAAGCTGTTCCGAGCACTCGGAACGCTCGCGTCACGCTACCATCGTCGTCGTCGACGCGTTCTCTTGGTCCAGGCGGATCAAAATACGAGACGAGGCTTCGTCGTTATCGGAAAGAAAGTATGCGGGCCGGACGGGACGACTCGAGGGCTCGTCCGTCGGTGACGAGGACATTGCTTCTTCGAGAAGCATCGCTCGCCTAAGGTCACGTGACGCGAACCCGTTAAACATCTCTTCCGCGCGCATTACGCGTCTACTTGTTAACAGGATTAGCGTGACGTTGCCTCGTCAGCTGTTCGGTTAGGGCCCCGGAGTCTTTAAACGGCACGGCGCCCGAGGTGGGTCTCGCCTCAAGTCGGACGTCGCGTCTAAATATTTGCGATCCTACCGAAGCGAACGACACGATTATCGATGTAGTCGTGTCGTCTCTTTGTCAGCTTGCGATAGAAATACAACATTCGAAATGTAACGCTTGTTCCTTTCCAGTTGAACCTGTCTCGCCCCCTGTTCATCCTGTCTCCGTTTCTCCTGCTCCACGTTAGAGAAGAAAAACAAAAGCGGAAACGTAAACAAGGCGGGAAATCGAGCGAAACAAAAACAGAAGCAAACTTGCGAGCTTCCGAAAGCGGAGCGTGCTCGCTACTGCTCGCGTTATACCGCAGCGTCGCGTGCTCCGGCACGCGACGCGGACGGACCTCTTCGGTGTTCACGATGCTACAAGTTGCCCGAGAGACTTCGAGCCGAGAAATATATGTAGCTGCATGTTTCTCGGCTCGAAATCTAGGACCGATTTCTAGCTTTTCTTTTATGGAAAAGCCGCAATTGACTTTCCGTGACAACAGAATCTTCGCGCGCGTTTCTCTCTTCAATCAATTCAAGAATCGGGCCCCTACGGCCTTAGTCGTCGCTATTTTTCGTAACCATAGGTTGCAGATCTTGAGAGTATAAGTGATCCGTTATGCAAATATCGATTCATATCGTTTATATCGGAAATTGAAGTATTTCCTTTGTTTAATTAGGTTTTCATATCAAATAAATATAAGAACAAGCCTTGTATTGGAAATCAAATTTAACCAGATCTCGCGCAACTACTGGAGAATTAAGAATAGATTCAACGACGATCTTGAGTTTGATCTCAAGATCGGAGCATGAATACCGCCCTTTGACTCTATCTTTCACATAAAGGCAAGCGTTATCTACGATATCTCTCATCGATCCATATTAAATTGAGATACGTCGCTTCAGATTTCTAGAAACGACATCGTTTATTTCGAAATGCTTATTTAAATGAAAGCATTGCGAGTTGCGATACAATAGCTTAGTCACCTAAACTCCGCAGCCGCGACATTTTCTACATTTCGTACGCGCGGGACGACCTCTAATGGGCGCGGTTCTTGATTAAATCTAATGCAAAAACCGGCCTGCGTATCTCGCACTAAAAAATTGATCGCTATTTTGTGTATCTGTTCGAAAATTGTTTGTACCTTGGAACATTTATAACAGCAACACTCTAGCAATATCTTCTGGAAAGTTTAGGTTCCGTAACTAAATATTAATCGTAATTAAGCTTTTGATCGACCAGAACTGGCAACGTGTTTTTAACGCAGAAAATTTATTGCGAAAAATATCTCTCCCTGCGTCGAATTGATGAGACGCCCGCCTAGAGAGTAGGAGACTCCAGGTTCAAACCCTGGCTGAGGTAATAGATTTCGCAGTGAATTTCTTTAATTAGAATTTGCCAGCAATGGGTCGTCATGCAATTTTCTACATAATTTTATATGTGCATTTATACTTTTATATGAAAAATTTTCAAAAGGGAAAAATTGCTCATTTATAATTATGTATAACTTTGTGCAATTATACACAATTATATGTGTAATTATAAGTGAGTAATTTTTCGTATAAAAACACGTGTAAATCTATAAAATGATATAGAACTGTGTAGGATTGTATAAAATTATATAGAGATATAAAATGTAAAAAATATGTGCGGACATATTTGATACAATTCTATACATTTATGTTCGTGCACGAAAAACATTTTACCGGATTATCATGGATGGGCGTCATGGAAAGACTTTCTTCCTAACATTCGCTAACCGTTGAGATAGAAATTCCGTTTCTATTATTTAAACGGATTAAATACAAAACATATGCAATTTCGTAGTATCGGCTATTCATTTATATATCTCAGTTGTTTTTTTTGCGTATCTAGAAAAATGTTGCTGCAGTTGCAACATCATTTTGTTTCTTTAGTGCGTCATCCCCTTCGCGCGACAATCTCGTTTCTGTCTTCGTATCGGACGGCCCCGAAGTCGCGCAGTCAAGTTTCCTGTGCGGGATACATTACGCATACCTCATCGTCTCAAGTGTCGAAATGTGTAAACAAAGCCGTGCATCGTTGTTTCGTATCGTCACTCCGCTTATCTAATCTGTCTAATCTAATCAGCTGTCTAATTGTAAGGCTTTCTTTTTCAAAGAGAAATGAATGAATGTACTGACGCAAAGCACTTGACCCGTCTACGCCTTGAGATTCGCAGTCTCATTATTTACGATTTTCCCAACGGTTTTATAGCTTCTGAAATCGTTTGTAACCGTTAATTGAAATATATTGCGATTAACGACTTCG